GGGGGGGGGTCTGAAGCAGCTTCCCAAGCTCTCCGCCCATGGAGCTCACTGTGTACTAAAGGAGGAACAATTCATGGAATTGTTTTTTAAAGGTGAAATGACGTATAAAACAAAAAAAACAAAACAAAAAAAACATTCATTGCAATTACATCAGTATATATGCCAATTCCAAGTATGGTATGCAGCTATATATTTACAATACAGGGCCCTTGCTTTGGACTCAATTTACTATTCCAGTTAGATTTGGCATCTTAGCCCTTAAACATCTGTGATAATATCGGTACTGTGTATATCAATACATAGGGTTGCGTAAAAGGGGTGATAACAGTGCTTCGGATACACGTGGTAGTAATTAACTATTTACAGGGAAACAAACAATTAAGCGTAGAATAATGAAAAAACAAGTTCAAAAGAGAGCAACAAGCCACAATGCAGGCTTGCTTTGATTGACAGTTAGCAGTGTAAAAGTAGCTAACACATTTAGTGGCTAATTCTCACCTCAAAACCAGGCACCCCAAGGTCCCATCAGAGCCTCACTAAATTACAAACTACGCTCTGTACTCGGCAGCATAAACCTCAAATGCGAGCGTTTCCTTCATGGGCTGTGAGGCTATAGTCAGACAACTTGCATGCACGTTGAGTGAAACAGGCCATGAAGCAGCAAGGTTATTTTTAGGTACTGGAACCTTTCTGAGAAAGTAGTAGACCGTACCTTTGGTGAAAGGCAAAAGGCATGTGTTTGAATCGTATATATACACAGTCATATACATACGCTGCATGGAGAGAAGCAGGTGAAAAACAAAATAAAGTTTGAAAATATCAAAAACTAATGTGCAGGCACTGCTTTCGCACTGATAAACCGAAATGCCATCTGTACTGAATCTAAATCGTTCCGCGTAAAAGTCACTGTTCCACATAGGGGATGTAAAACAAAGAGGTAGCTCAACTGAATGGCTAAATGAATAACTGAGTATGTTTGTTGTGTTGTGTGCACGTAGCATACACACACACACAAAAAGTCCAGGCATTTAAAGCAGCAGTTTGTTGATTTAAATACAGGCAGAAACACTGTAGATAGGCAGAAGCTGTATGTATGCATGTATGTATACGTGTGTATGTATGCATGTATAGTTTAATGTGTATTCTATGAAGTTTCCTTATTTACTACGTCTCACAACATCTGCTTGCTCTCCGTACAACCCGTCTTTATCTTGGCCGTCTTTATGCCAAGATAGACTTCTTTAGACAAGAAACATATCAAACACACACACACACACACACACGTAACACACTCTCTCTCTCACACACACACACACACACACACACACACACACACACACACACACACACACACGCACACTACTTTCTCTCTTCCACTAGCTTCATACTCCACACCTCCACTGAGTCCATCCAGCATATCCTCAGCTCCCTGCCTCCATTTCTAACCCCCTCGGGCGTCTCGTCTCCAGCTTCCTCTCTACCATTGAGGTTCAGAGGTTCTAAGAGACTTCGCTGCCAAACACCTCCAACACCAGCGGGGTGAGCTGCATGCTGTGCTCCGGCTGGAAGGACAGCGAGCGGTACTGTTTGGAGTGCTCCTCGTTGAGGCTGCGCAGGTCGGCCAGCTTCTGGATCATCTTGGCATAAAGCAGCCGTCCTGCCGGGTGGTGAAGCTGGATGTAGGCCTGCAGGGTCTCTGACAGTTGGTCTTGCAGGGCTTCGATCCGTGCGTGATCCTGCACACCTGGGCGGTCTGCAAGAGGGGAAAGGAGAGTCTTAAAATATTTATGTTTTGTTACGCAAGCGAAAAAACAACCAAAATTAACTGTTAAAATCTAAACATCATTGGAAGAATGAGGACTGAATACACATATCAAGAACTGGATGGAGTAATATTTATCCCACAAAACAATTTCTTAATTGTAAATCAACATAAAATTGCATGATGTTTGTGTTTTTATTCCTACTCTTCTGGTCAGGTGGCTGGCTAAATTTAGATCAGGGAGAGCGTGTCTGACGAATAATGAGGGGCCTCATATACGCGCAGGAATGCAAATATACACATAGTTGCACATGCTTGCTTGCATAACTACACATGTATAATAAATGCACTGCATCCTTGGCAAATGCGTGTTCAAATCTAGGCACGTACTCACACGAAACCCTGCAAGTATCTTAGACCTGCACCTCAATGTGATACGTTGACTGACAGACATAAACGAGATCACTCAAGCAATTCCTTTTGACCCTCTACATACGTTCCCTCCTCCACACAGTCAGACCTACGGTACCTGGAGACAGCAAGCAGATGGCCATCAGCATCACATGTTCCTCCTCCTGCAGGTTGAGCTTCTTCAAGCCCACCTGGAACTTCACCAGTGGCTCCAACAGCTCCAGAGTGTGGCCCGCTACAGAGGACGCAACACATCATTACCGTCGCTGCAGCACATAGAATCAGTTCCATATGATATCATAGGGGGGGTAAAAAAAGGCCCTCCAGGGAATGTTACCATCAAGCTTATTCATTCATATCATCTCTGGTAAGGAGTTTTTTCTTGCATACTGCGCGTTCTCGAGTTTGTTTTCACCAAGAACTACCAGTTGAGATTTGCTGTATGTGCCATTTCTTAGGGGGGTTTGTTTTAAGTAGATGCATAAACGAGAAGCCATACAAATAATGATCAGAAGTAATGATTGATTATCTCGACTCTCCATTTCCTCAGTTTATGGCCGGTGCTGTGTACTGAACTTTAATGCGGTCTGAGCACTGTGTAAATTGTGCCTGTAGCATGGGATGTGTTAGCACCAAATGCTTTTCCAGATGAATCAATCTTTGTAACTAATAAATTATTACTAATGTTTTCTTCTTTGTTTTTCTTGTATAATTGTTGAGGTTGATAAAATATTAAAGGGTAACTTTGGTATTTTTCAACCTGGATCCTATTTTCATTAACAGTTGCAATAAAGCAGAAGAACACACAAGCATTACCAAGATGGTCCCTTAAATGTTGTGTGTCGAACTCTTTTTCTTTTGCCTTATGTTTTAATGCTTTTAATGGTTCTATGTGCACTTTGAATTGCCTTGTTGTTGAAATGTGCTGTACAAATAAACTTGCCTTGCCTAATAGGGACCCCAATTTCTGAAATTGGTGCAGTATTGAGCGAGAGCTCTTGAGACGGCCTCAGCTCACGGGCTGCACTGTAATCCTAACGGGGCAAGCTGGCACCGCCAATTCACGTCCACCAAATGTGCTTGTTTTTGCATTTCCATTGTGCAAAGAGTGCCCTCAACGAGAAGTCTGACACATTTTAAACATTTGTTTTATATAGAAACTCTGGACTTTTCTTAATGATCCACTGCAGTAAATAGGACTGCCGTGTTACATACATATTTTACGAATGAACTGCAAACTGTGAAACTAGGGGAAGAATTACTTTGAAATCACATGTGAGAGTTATATTTATGATTGTATACTATTGATGAGAAAACACATCTGAATTCCAGCCATGTTCATGTAAACTATTCCGTGATATTTTAAGAAAAGCACAACAGAGCTGCTTCTGCTGGTCCAGACAGTGGATGTTTTGTGTGGTCAGCAAGTCGGGAGTGGCATTCTTTGGTTTGTCCCATAGAGAGGGGTCTTGTTTGAAACTGGCAAATGAAAGCCTTGCCCCTCTGCGGATATGCAAGACTGTTTTTGCAGTCTTACATGTGCACAAACGTGCTTCCTTCAAGCTCTCAATAGAGGTGTTGGTGTGTAACATGTGCGTCTTTTCTTCAGCCATCAGCTGAGCAAAATGAAAACAGTAGTTTGTCTTAACGGTAGTCAGACGGTACACTGACCTTTGGTGACGTCGCTGATCTGGTATTTAAAGTCGGGCCCACCACAGCTCCAGGACATGTCTTCCAGGTTGAAGCTCTGATTTGAGCGCAGCATGATCACCTCAATGGCGCTGGACTTGAGCAGAGCAATCTGGTCCTCTGCAGTCAGCTCCCTGCAGGAAAAGATATTACACACTGTTAGTAAACCATTGATAGCACAATATTACACAAATGGTCCTCAAATAACCTTAATCATGTGGTGCTGGTCATGATCAGATAAAACAACAAGTAAACAAGATTCAAACTCTTTAATCTATCTCATGATTTAATTTTGATTCTCTGGGTTAATTTGATTAAAAAAAGACAAAGAAAACAAAATTGATTCGTAATGAAAAACTTGATGGAAATTTGTTAATATCTTAGTATTTAAAGATACAGTCTCTGAATTCCAAAATGTCAGAAGGTGGAGGTTTTATCATTCTTTAGATTATAATAAAAAAAATCAGAGGACTTATTTTACAAAACGTTATGAGAGAGGATCTCTAACAAAACAAAGAGTGCTATTTCGTCTGATGATAACAAGATGTCAACACAAAGGTGATTCATTTGGTGAAAGAACAGGAAACATAACAGCGATCTCCGACACTAAAACCTTAATTTATTTTTCAAGAATAAATTTTAAAAAACTAAACAAAACAAAGACCGTTTAGAAGTTGTGAGTCGATTCAGAATCAAATGAGATTCCAACATGAATCGTTTCCCCCCACGCCTCACTCAAACCAAGTACCTGCCCTTCCTACGCGTTTATGTCAGCTCATCAGTTGTATAATTATATCTTATAGGATTTTTCTGATCAATGGCTTACTGACTACAGGTTCAAAGTAGATCAGATATGTTCTGTGCAGGAAGACAAAAACAATCAAAATATGTATTTCCGTTTGCTTCCTCCTGCTGTCATGGGTCCCTGAGCATGGACAAGTCAATTCATTGACATAAATCTAACTTTTCACCATCATGGTAAAGTCCTGCATCTGGTGATGTTTTGAAATGTCTTAAAAATTGTCTCTAAAATGAAAAGGTATGAACTAGCAGGAGACATGAGCTTAAACCTGCAGCTCTTCAGGGGAGGTCTGGTGTGTTTTTCAGGGCTGAGGGAGCAGATCGTAAGTGGACAAACTTACAAAAGGTGGACAAAGGTAATCCGACCGCGTCCATCACTCGCTGCCAGAGGAACGACAACATTCAGGAAATACAGGGCCCGGCTCGTTTTTAGCCTCAACTTTGGGGTGACCCCGAGACACTACGCGTTTGACCCCGTCAACACACTGAGAGACAAACAGGCTGAAGGGCAGCACTAGCAATGTGTAGAAGGTGGGGAAGAAACACTGACCAGCCATTGTTACTTTGCCTTCACAGTTCACACACAAATAATGTGCTAGCTTGTGTGCTTCACATCGCTTTGTGTAATTCAAACTTTTAAACAAGTCTTTGTAATAGGTACATTGCATACCTTTGAAAAATGTGTGCTCTTTAGACAGACATCCTGAGGCTGTGCATACAAGACAGACCGGTGCGTCCCTCTCTAAAAAGGTTAGACAATCACCTACTAACATATGTAAAGGGCTGCGCTTCACACCAACAACAACCCCATGGCAAATGTACAACCTCGTCCAGCTAAGCAACAACACAACATAAAAAAAGATTGTCCTTAATGTGTCAGCTATCTGCAACATACAGTCCATCAGTAATCTATGCCCTTTAGACCTCAGCCATCACCGTGGCACAATATCGACTAATCACGCAGAAAAACAAGTAGGTGTACAAAGTCTTCAATGCACATTTAGGTAAAGAGTCACTCGGTGACATGTAAACAAACTAGAATTATCACGGCTGTATGCCTCCATGTCCGCCCAAAGTATAATCACTTATTAATCATAATCTCGTATTAGATTTGTGTTAAATTGGTCAACAATAGCTTATGAATTCTTGAGTTATGGCCAAAAACATGTTTGGCGAGGTCACAGTGACCTTTGACCCGCAAATTCTAATCAGTTGAGTCCAAGTGGGCATTTGGGTAAAATTTGAAAAATTCCCTCCAGGCGTTCCTGATTGAGTTAAAAAGAATGGAGCGGGCGGTCGGCCACACTATGGACGGACAGACGGACGCACTACAGGCGGACGGACGACAAGAAAACATATCGTCTCTGATCACGGATGTCGCTGGCGCAAAGGCATGAAAATACAATAAGATACAAGATACAACGTCTGTATCTTTGTACGGTTTTATTTTTCCAGATATCAACATTTGTTTACGTGAGCAAGTCGGTTCTATAGGAAAACTGAAAATCAACAAAACAAATCATATGAGAAGGTCCTCTGCAAAGACATCAATACAGAGCTCAGAAAAATGTCTGTCACAACAATTCATCCTAAAACTGGATTAGCGATTAGCATGTAATTATCATAAAGTAGTTATTTCTGTAAACTAACATGCTTTCATGCCGTCTTGTATTGGCCATTGTGAATGTGTTTTTTTTGCCAGTCTTGGAGTCAAATTCTTTAGTTAAGGCATCGTTTTGTCTGGCTGTCCCTGTGTCAAAACTCTAGCAGACAGATAGAGACATGCTCTACAACCAACACCCAACACACAGCCACCCACAAATACCTGAAGCCAGGGATCATCTTGGCAAAGCCAATGACCTTCTGGATGCTATAGGAGACCAGGTCAGCCAGGTGGGGCAGCATGGAGAAGCTGGAGCCCTCTTCCTCGCTGGAGTCAGGGCTGCTGCCCTGCTCGTGGTACATCATCAGCAGGTTGTTGAAGTTCATTTTGGTGTCTACGGACTCTGTGGTGAGCAAAGGAAAAGCCAGCAGAGGAAAGAGGAGAAGACAGGAAACGTGGAAAAGCATGACAATGTCACACTATTCCTCCATGAATAGACAGTCTGTGCTGAGATAACCAAGAGAAATCATGGAACAGAGGGGGCTTGTTGATGGAAAGGATCATCTGAAAATACACGAGCGTCAGGTCAGTAGGAGTGAGATGAAAGCTTTAGATGACAGCTACGACAACATGTGAAGCATGCAGAGCTTGCTGGGTCATTTGTCCCCGCTGAGTGTTGGCGTTAGGCCACGGGACAGTGCCCCTCGCTTTGTTTGCTCCATTAGTGACGGATGCATTAATGAACTGATGTGCACTCGTAGGAGTCAGGTGTCGGGGGGGAGGGGTGGCTAGCAAGTTATACAAAGAATTCTTTACTGGATTGTCAGTAAAGCAGCACAACAGGTTATGTACGCAAACATGCAAACAGATGAGCCATCTTAAATCACATATTAACCACTTTTCTCCCAACATGTCCGTCATTTGTGTTATATGTTAAGTTGTTTTTCTGTCAGTTATAATTTCAGTGAAGTGACACACGTTATTCTTCCTTGCTTTGTGTCTAGGTGAAGGGTGAGTGTGCAGGACAAACTATTTTAACGGTAAGCCTACACTGTCACTGTTTTCCCTTGATCTGGAGTGACATCTCCATAGTGTGTGTTTCTTACCTGGAGAGTGACTGAAGGAGTCAGAGGAGGCATCAGACAGAGAGTGGAGAGAGGCAGCTCTACTGGCGCTACGCGTCACCGGGCCCTCGCGTACAGGAGGCTAGACAACAGAAAAAAGGGCACAAATAAAGACGAAGGATTCTTATATACGATTTGTCAGTAATTCAGTAAAAATCTTAATCTAAATGAACATACAGCTGACTAATTTCTGCTCATTATTCGGATTCTCGCTAAAAAAATACAGAATATACAGCTTTGCTGAATATCTGCTGAAAAATGGGATCGAATTACTGGACTCGAGTATGTCTGTATGTGTATCTTGTGGCGATAGATACCTGATATCTGATACAGAACGGATAACAACACCACAGGTTAGATGTCTGAAAGGACGGAGGGGTTTAAGGGGCGAGTCAACAAAAGAGTTTTGGAGGAGGAATGGACCACTTGGTGTGAAATTTGTGTGGAAGCAATGCAAAACGTGACCGTCGCTGACAGGCAGTGGAGTAGAGCTGAAGCAGAAAGATAATCCGATGTGAGGAATCAACATCAATGAAATGCTGCGAGTGTGCCAAGTAATGTGAAGATCCTTTGGGAAGTGACAAACTGCCTATTCCATTAGAGCTGGAACTATCTTTGTCCATCTTAACCCGATAACAATATCAGTTATTAGGGCCCGAGCACCGACGTAGTCGGAGCGGAGGACCTATTGTTTTTCGATTGTTTATTATTCTTCTTCTTATTTTTAGTGTTTAGTCGCAAAAAGGAGGTGCTTGGGATACGGGAAAACTTCTGAAATTTGGCACGCAAGCCAGAATTTGCGAAAATTGCAGTCTGATTGGGGTGTCCAGCTGCGTTATGAAATATTGGCTCGATAGCGCCCCCTATTGAGTAGCCCCAACACCGGATTTCACCTAGCTGTATGAAATTTGGTAGGTATGTGGATCGTGATGGGACGTACAAAAAATCCTCTTGGAATTTTTCTCTAAACCAAACAGGAAGTGACTTTTATGACTTTTGACTTTTATGACGTTTTTGGACCGTTTCAAGGCGTCGTACTTTAACGAACTCCTCCTAGAGATTTGACCCGATTGACTTCAGATTTGGTCAGTATGCTCTTGAGACCTTGGCAGTGAAAAGTTACTCAAAGATCAAAATGTTATCGAACTATGTGTCCGTGGCGTGGCGTCAAAAAAACACCATTCGCCATGAAACAGGAAGTTGTTTTAACTCGGCCGTACATTGTCGAATCTGCTCCAAATCTCTCATATGTCATAACATCCTGACTCGGAACACATCTATAAGACAATTTAGAATCATAGTAATAGCGCCACCTAGTGGCAACCGGAAGTTGTACGTTTTGTACTTTGACATCCTGCTCCTCACAGATTAATCAGATCCCTCTCAAATGTTGTCAGAAAAGCCTTAAGACCTTGATAATGCTTCATCGTGAAGATTGTAAGAAGTTATTGAAGGGCGGCGACGTGGCGGCTCGGCGAATTTCGATCCTTCGCCATAAACGAATAAACTGATGTATCTCGACTCCACATCATCAGATCTTTACCAGATTTCACATGTTTGATGAGACTCCAGGCCTGAAGACATCTGCAGGCCAATTTTGAATCATAGTTATACCGCCACCTACTGGTAACAGGAAGTTAAAGTCTTTATACTTTGGCTTGTTTCTCTTAGTAGGTAAATCAAATCATCAAATTACTTCCACACAAATGTAAGAAGTTCATAATACCAGTTCATGAAGCTTTTGATGTTTCGTCGAACGCCATTGCCATGGCGACGCAGTCTTCGCCGTTAACAACGAAGGTAATTTTGAGAGGCTAAAAATGCTCGAAACATAAGCAAAATTGGCAAGCAGATTACAAGCCCGAAATGTAGTTATATAATATGATTTTATTGGTTCAGAGTGGCAAATCGGCTCAATAGCGCCCCCTACAAAATTTCGACGAAGCAGCCCTCGAAGTATGTTTGACCTAGATGTATGAAATTTGGCAGGAACATGTATCACATATGGACTTAAAATAAAGTCTCTTGGGACCATGCTCTAAACCCAACCGGAAGCCAGCCATTTTGAATTTTGTATGAATTTCTCGTGGTTTTTTTCCATTTCCAGGTGCTGTACTACGAACTCCTCCTAAGGAATTAATCCGATCAGCTTAGAATTTGGTCAGAACAATCTAAAGACCTTAGCGATTAAAAGTTACTAAAAGCTTTAAGTTTCATCGAACGACGTGGATATGGTGTGACGGCCATATTACATGGTTCACCATCATCCATCAAGCTGTTGTAACTCGACTGTACTTTGTCAAAACTGTCCCAAACTTGACATGCTTGTTGACTGTCATGGCTTTAGGACTTCTGCATGCCAATATTAACTCATAGCCATAGCGCCACCTACTGATAAGCACGGACGTAACCAGGATTCTATAATTACAGCGGCCCAAACACTGAACTTATTGAAAGGGTACACCATGAGAAAAAGACTTCTCTGATCTAAATATGTGCAAACTAAGATGCTTGGAGAGCAAACGTTAGATAACAGTGGATTTTCAAACCATGTCAGTGGGCATTAGTATAAATGATCTGTCCAGAGCTTCTTCATGACAATCAGGTTAAACGTTACTTCACACTACAATCTAAAGTTACAGAAGAACTTAAAATGAAAACAGTGTTAAATTAAAGTGTTCAAGTAACAGCAAATGGCACTACTGTTTTGTTAACTTTCATGTAAGTCCAAATACAATCAGCAGGACACTGCAGGGAGTTGAACCCCATCCCAGTAAACTGACAGTCTGTTATGTTACAAACACTGAAGCGCATTCACACACATTTATTTTCTTAATGATCTTAAAAGGCTTACATTTATGATTGTATCGGAGGTACACTCAAAGCATTTTAGGCTTAAAACCTGGCAACATGATCTTGCTACGCTGCTGGTCGACGCAGGAAATATCATCTCACTCGTGCACGCAGTGTATGATGGTCACAGAAATGCACGGCCGCGTCAACAAGAGTCCTGCCAGTACTCTCGACGTGCGTGAAGTTGCGAGGGCCCGATCAATGCTGCTCGCAGCTTTAATATTTCTATTAAGACACAAACCCTGAAGCGGCAGAAGTCGGAGTAGGAGTCGTCGTATGTTTTGTGGTGCGCCTCCACCAGCGTGGCGATGACCTGACTCTGGTCGTCGCTGAGCCGTGGCCGCCGCGCCTCCTTGTCCGCTTCACGCTGTGCTTCCTCGTCCTTCCTCCGTTGAATTAGGTCCTTCTTCCTCTGCACTTCCTCATCTGTCAGAATGACTGAGGGTGCAAGTATAAAGAGACAAAGAGGGAGAGAGTGTTAGAATTACACACAAATCACAAAGGAAAACAACGCTTTAGAAAATACATGCATGGAGAATACAGCTTTTGTGCAATCAGAAAACAGGTGAGGTGGAAGCAGGGCAGAATGAAGAATGAGTTTAAGATATAACAGAATACAGCTATATCATTAATTGGTAAAAGGTGCACTGCTTTTAAAGCTTTTCGGTTTGTTCCAGTGTTTTACATTGTGACAAAAGCTATGTTAACGTGGTGTTGGGTGGTGGAGGGGCGGGGGGGTTGTTATTCTCTGGAGGAAGAGAATGGGAGGAGACGCGTCCATATGGAGACCCCTGCTGCAATGAACAAGTAAATGCATTGTCTTTGTTCTGTTCGCGCCTTGTTGTTCTAAACACTGAATTAGCTCACAGAGACAGAGACACAGAGAGAGAGGCAGAGAGGGAGAGAGAGAGAGAGAGAGAGAGAGAGAGAGAGAGAGAGAGAGAGAAAGAGGCAGAGAGGGAGAGAGAGAGAGAGAGAGAGAGCTGGGTCTCAACAACATGCTGCTGTTTTTGCAACAGTAATGCCACTGGCTCCTCGAACATGTACAGTAAATTGCAGCGGCTGTGCCACCAACCTTGTGGTGTTCCCAGAAACACTCAGGGGAAAGAACATTCAGCTGGAAGTGAGAGGCCTTTGCTTAAAAGCGGCCAGGGGACAATATCCGGATATATCAGGAGAAAACAAGGAAGAAAAAAAAAAAAAAAAAAAAAAAAAAAAAAAAAAAAAAAAAAAAAAAAAGAACCTGCTATTTACAGACCATGAAAATAAACAACTGTGTGGAAAGAAGAGGCCTCACAAGATTGTACATAACAGCAGGTGTTTAAACTTCAGATGGAGTACACTTACACTATACAATGTGGGGAGGCTCCACTAGTTCAAATAGAAAGTGTCAACACTCTAATGGGGGCAAAGACCCAGAGATACTTGACCTCAGTCCAAATATTACATAATATATATACAAGAGGGACAGTAGGCCCCCAAAACAGCAAACAGCAGTCATGTAAATTTGACTATCCTCAAAAAAAAAAGAAAGAAAAGAAACAAAAAGTACATTAAATGTAATAATAATAATAATAATAAATTTGTCTTTATTGAGGGGTCTTGGATGAGTCCAGGACATCGTTTTGATCCACATTGAACCGTGATGGGCAACCACAAAAATGTTCTAGTCATTCATATAATCATTAAGTGCATTTAACCCAAAAGGGTTCGTCCCTATTTAAAGACATGCAGTAAATCCCATGGTGTAATGTTAACAGTATTGAGGACATATGGGTCGGCCGTCATACTTACACTCTTTCATCATGCCAATGTCCACACAGCGCTTGAGGCGGCATGCCTGGCAGTGGCGCCTGTTGTCCTTGGTGATGGAGCAAGTGCCGTTAAAGGGACACGTGAAGGCGGCCTTACGCTTCATACTGCGCCTAAATCAATTGTATACATTTTACAGTCTATTAAAAACACACACACACACACACACACACACACACACACATCAGTTTATAAAACACACAAAAATAAAAAATTCAACGAATTCACTTAGGTTTTTTAAGCCTTTAGTTAAGGCTCTATGTACGTGTCTGAACATGTTGTTATAATCAATATAGCACCGTGGTGCCTTGGACCGAGCTGTAAACTAATAACTATCATGGTAGAACTGGATAAATATTTTTGGTCTTCAAGCCGGGGACTGACAGAAACAGCATAAATATGGACGAGCGCCAAGGATTCCAGGGGTAGAAGAAGAGTCTTGACAAACAGTGACGCAAAGCGTAGTGATTTAGTCAGTCACGGATAGTATGTATGATCAGTTATACACAGACGTGAGAAAAAACACACACACAAGCACGCGTGGTGAGAGTTCAAATTCGGGCCAGCTGAGAGACGAGGCAGGAGATTATTAAACGTCCTTTTCTTTTCATCCTCTCTTTTTAAACATCAACACTGCCGAGAGGAACAGATGAAAATGGGCGGACACATCG